TCAAATGGATGAAAACGGCCATGTTGCCCATGTAGAATATGCGCTTAGTGCACTGCAAGTTGGGGCCCACCAGCCTTTTTTGTTTGTCGATGCACCATCCACGTGCACATGTTGTGCACGCGCCTGACGTAAAAATATTAATAACATAGATACTAGCTTATTGTTGTAGAAACCCGTATAATAACCAAAATCATACTACATTATAAGTATGAAAAGCCAAGAAGTCGGGTTAAACTCGTAAATTCACAATATAAAATTAGCAAGAAAGATCCAACGGGTAGCAATCACAAATCCAACATGTCTCATTCTGAATTCGTGTTAATAATAAAATAATAAAGTACCTTGGCACCAGTGAAAATCAGGTTCAACTGAAAAGTAAGTAGAATACAAATCATCAATTACACAGACATGGTATGCTGATCAGATAATGCGAACACCTAACATTATGTATATATATTCCGACATAAATAACTTAGGTGTATAAATGATACTCTAGTACTACACACATGTGAAGCTGACATTAAGCGCTCACATATGAGTCATATTGCCTAGTGCAATCTAGGGACACATCTACACTGGATCCAATGCGATTTTAACGGTGCATGTGAACATACATGTGAAACTGATCCTAACCACCTGGACAATACAAATAAAGAAACACATGCAAGCATATATAATGAGCAAATATATCATATAAAAACATGCCATGGATAATTTCTCAAATAAAAAGTGTTACAAAATCATGAGGGTAATGCTAAAGAGGTTAAATTTGACAAAATTTTATAAACTAAATGACATAAAAGTTGATGATTGAGTTATTACTTAAACGTTGATAAACATATTCATTCCTATTGTGACAAATCATTTAGTTTTCAAATTTTGTATATAAATTTAATCTCTCTAGCATTACCAAAATCATAATATCGCAATAAACATCGCAAGTCTAAAAGTAAAGCATCGTGATAAAGCATTCCAAATAAAAGTTCACAAATCTCAGTAAACAAAACATCATCATCATATAAAACTTTGTGCTTTTAAAGTAAAACGAAAGCATGAGGCGATATAAAACACATTATAAAACCACATTTGAAAACATATAATAAATAGTTTAGAAGTGAAAGCCTGCTCACACACATTTTATGGTTGCAGCCGCCTTGCGGTGCACACTCTTGTAATCCATAAGATAACATTTCTAAGGTGAAACAACCTTTACTCAGCAATTAAATCAAATACAATATTGAAATATAGGCTCGAAACACCAAATTCGTTGTCCGAAAACGTACATCCATCGCAGCGCGCGTATTTAAGAAAATAAAAATACTTTGATAAATTAATAAGTTACTAATTAATAAATTATTAACTATCAGTTATTTAATACTCATTAAATTGATAGATTTTCATTGGTCCCCGTTTGAAATGTATATGATTTAGAGGACCTACGTATGCATATTTCATTATTTGGAGGGTACAACGAAGTCATAATGACACGTTTCGAATTGACTATGGTCACAGAGCAGATGAAATTTCCTATAGTCTCTTTGGACCTGAAAGTAATATATAACTATGATTTACCACCAGTTGTCTTCTTTAAATAATAAAAAAAAAACACTAGGTGCATGTACGTTTCAAATTGAATTGGCGCCGTTTGGTACGCAGACGGGACGGAATATGATGGAATGGGACAGAACGGAACGCGTAGGATGGAACAAGATGGTTGTTCTATTTTGCATTTGGTAAGCACATGGCGAACGGAACTAAAAGATTAAATGACTAACTTACCTTTGTTCTGTATGTTGTTTGGTGCAATGTTTATGCGATGAGATGGGACGGGACAGTTTTTTAGTTGTTCATATATTTGAACACATGTATGCTTATCTATGATATATTTTTTACACTAGCGAATATCAATATTTTTTTGTCATTTTATTAAGGGAAGTGTTATTGGCACTTCAAAAATCTTACTTTACACTCCTCACAAATGTATGTTTCTTTTCTAATATAGAAAGTTTGGAGTGTAGAATGAGATTATTGGCACCGTTAGGTTTTAAACGGAATATTCCCTAACGCCGTTAGGGATTTCGTCAGTGTGCCAGGCACGTGCTTGCGCGTGGCCGGTGTATAAAAGCGCATGGGACGTCAGAAAATTATTCTAAAAATATGGGGACACTTGTGGTGTTGAGTAGGCCACGACGGTATATTCAACACCCCAATTGAGCAACGTATGAGAAGTTATTGCACGGTTTTGGTTATGTGCTTAAAATTAATGTTGAATTAGTTGTTTCACATATAGGTTAGACGTTCCCGGAGAACGAGCGTAGCCAGGCGAAACTTGGGGGTTACGACCATGCTACATACCAGTGAGTGGGCTTTTGGTTTTTATATAATATATATATATATATATGCGTTTCCCAGAAACTGTTTTTAAATGGAATTTTGTTTAAAATGCCATGTCATGTTTGCTTTACATTTTAGCATATGCATTAGTATAGCTTTGCATAATTTTGCATGATATTGCAGAGGCCTAGGTAAGTTCAGGTAAGCATATATTGACGGTATGGTTGCATGGTAGTTGATTATGAATTTATGCACGTAGAGCTCATTGTCCTGCACCCCGGTGTTAGTGCTCCGTCCATGGCGAGGCCCTAGCCTTCACGTGATCGTTCACCTTCTGCATCGCACGCTCAACTTGGATCCAAGTCAGGTGCTAGCCTGTCGTACAGACCACATTAGGTGGTTCTAACTCGTAAATGACCTGCGATTTGTCACACAACTTTCCCGTGATCGTAGCACTTGAGCGCACTTATACATTCAGCCTATCTTACAGACCACATTAGATGGTTCCTGCTCATGTGCAGGTTTAGTGCCGTATAGGTCATATTAGGTGACTCCGGCCGGATTGATGAGCAATAGGTTCAGCCGTATAGGCATATTAGGTGACTCCGGCTAGCATATCACTTTTACATTGATTTATATCACCTGGCTTACATATTTACTGTTGAGATAGTGACATGGCATATACTTGGTTTTCGTTACTCTCGAGCTTGATTTCTATAAATACATATGTATTACTATTTTCTGGGAAATTATAAGGGTTTTACAGTGAGCGGTTATTACTTTTGGAAAGAGAAATGGTTTGAAAAAGCTTTGTTTTTGCCCACTCACACTTTCTGTTTTGCGCCCCTCCAAGTTTTAGGTAGAAGTTTGTGTTAGTGGCTTACGAGGATTCTACGGTGGTTCTGACAGACTTCTAATAATGTAGGAACTTTACTTCTTTCATATTCTGTATAATTAATATTTAGCATGCTGGACTGCACTTAGGTTACTTGTGCTCTGAATATGTGATTTACACCTTAAACACTTTCACTCACACTTGTACATTTATCTAGTGTAGGTTAGCTAATTTGGTTTTTATTTACCCACATTTCCATATAACTATCACTTCCGCATTGCGCTTATAGCTATGTCACTCTCACGTAATGGCCATCATGCCTTAATTTAGGTCAAGGTGTGTCACATAATTTATTTATAATGTACCCCTTTTTTTTTTTCTTTTTTTTTTTTTTTTTGCAAATGTACCACTTTGTTATATGTAAAATGTATCCCTATTTTTTTTTGTAAGTACCATCTTTTTTATGTAAAATGTACCCATTTTTTAATGTAAATACTATTTATTTTTTAATCTAAAATGTACTGTTGTTTTTTTAATATAAAATGTACCCATTATTTTCTATAAAATGTACCCACATTTTTATGTAAATGTACCAATTTTTTGTATATAAAATGTAGCCAAATTTCATTATATAAATGTACTCATTTTATAAAACCCATAAGCAATTATTATTTTTTTATTTATCAAAACCCATAAGCAATTTGGAATAATTAAATTGGCAGGGTAAGTGAAAGCCAAAAAAGAAAAGGAAAAAAAAAAAAGGAAGAAGGATTAAGGACCTCAACTAAACTCTCTCTTCCTATTATTATTATTATACACACTTTTTTCTTTGACCATCTCTCTCCCATGTCTCTCTACTTTCTCTTCTTCCATATGCTTCTTACTCTTATCGTGCCCAGATTGCTCTCCGTAAATATCAAACTCGGTAAATCAAACCCATACTTTCTTTTCATTTCATTTTCTTTCGATTCAATTCAAACCCATATTTCTCTTCAAATCAAACATAGAAAAATCCCAAAATTTTCTTTTTTCAATTTACAGAGGCTTCATCGGATCATCGGATCTGCAAATTCATTTCAATCAATTTCTTCAGTGCCGTCATCGTCCTCCTTGCAGCGTTGTCGTCGTCCTCTCTAGGCTTACGACGATGACCTGGCTATGGTGACAGCGCATTGAATAGGTAGCGGTGGAGGAGCTTTGACATTGTCAACGACGGCCTTGGTCTCTTCTTTGCACTTTTTGTTGTCATCGAAAGAGGCTCGATGATGCTTGCTATGTGAGTCCTGGGCGTCGCTGGCAACAATCTCATCGTGGGACTAGCAGGGAGGAGGGAGGTAGCGAGAGAAATCTGGGTTTGAGTTCAAATGGGTTTGCTGGGATTGGGTTAGCCATAGTTGGCTTGCTGGGTTTGTGGTGGAGGATGATGAGGCTATAGGAGAGATGGATGGTAGAAGAGAAGGAGGCTACGGGAGAAAGAAGGAGGGTAGACAGTGAAATTAATGAAAAGGAAGAGGGGTATTGTTGTCCTAAAAAATTATAATTTTGTGTTCCATGGGTTGGAACAAGTCGTTCCAAGGGGAAGGTAGAACAAAAAAAGTGACGAACATTTGTTCTACGGGACAGTGCGTCCTAAACAATTTGGCACACTAAACGTGGGACGAGTGCGTTCCGTCCCATCCCATGTACCAAATAGTACAAAACGAATAATTAAAGTACCCAAAATTTAAATTCCTCCATGCAATTTGGTTTAGGTGGGTCGACTGATCAACTATGTAATTGAACCGAACCAGCGGTCCAGCTCAAAATAAAAAACAACTAAAAAAAAAAAAAAAAAAAAAAAAAAACCTTTTCTTAAATCAGGCGGTGAAGAGGTTCCATTTCTCCATCTGAGTCCATCCTTTATAAACCCTGAGGATGCCCATTTTAAGCAACTAGATTCTTCTTCTATCGTCTCTCTCGTCTCAATCGCTGCAAGCGTTCGTCTGGTAAGCCATTTCTCTGTAACATTTCTCATCGACTCTTTGTTTCTTGCAATTTTAAGGTTTGTAATCGAGTTGCCTAACTGTTTGATGTCAGTCACCACTGCCAGTGTGACTCCGATATAATTCGTGGAATCAATTTTCCTAAATTTTTTCAGTGCTGATTTAAGGTTTAATTTATTTATGCTGCACCAGTTCCTTAATTTCTATAAAAATTGAAGCTCGATTTGTTAATAATTTTTTGAAAAAGTATTATAGAACATTTCATTTCGTATGATTCTGTAATTTGGGTTTATTGGAATGGATGAGGTTATAATAAAGAAAATTGTTTGCAAGTCAAGGCAAAGGGAATTAAGGTTCTGTTTAGTTATAGGCTATAAATAGTGAAATATAATTCTCTCTTCTTTCGAAAGAAAGTAAGGGAGTGTGTTACAAGCTGCCGTTGGTCCTTAGTTTGTGTTAAATATACCATGTTTATTTTGAAGAATGAAATCTCGGTGATATGCATTCAAACAGACCGAGGCATTTTGCTTCTTTCTTTATTTGTGTAATTTTTCTTCTGGGTTTTCTTTTGGGCGAGGGGATGAGGGCGGGGTTTGTAATTGGAGGTGATCTTTAATGTATCTTACTGAATTCTCATACTTGCCTAGTTAATATTGGACTCAGAAGAGGGCTTATGTGCTATTAGGTCCTTGATGGTTTTGTTGTTCCAGGGGTGGGGTACAATAGAGAACATCCTATCGTGCGTATGCAATTTGAATATGACTTGATAAAGGTTATGGTGGAAAAGGTTATATTATTAAGTTAAACAATAAGACAGTTGGGTTTATCAGAGATTATCAACAGTTTACAATTTTTGGTTTTTTGTATTTTAGAAGTTTTTTTTAGAACTGAAAACATCGCTTATAGAATAAAAGATAAGGGTATGTTTTTCTTGATCCATAATATCATTTTCAGGTAGGATAATCAACTACAATGGCATCAAGGATGGCTGCAAGGTTTGTGCCTCGGAGGTTTTCAAGCAGTGGAAAAATTCTCAGTGAGGAGGAAAAAGCTGCAGAGAATGTTTACATCAAGGTCATTTCTAAATTCCCTGGATATTTTCTCTTATGCTTTTCCTTTGAATTGTTTGGCTGCTTATTTGTGGTGCATTTTTATTAATATCCTCTTGGACGTAGGTTAAGTGCTGAGGAACATTGTCGGATGATGGAACTGTCTTTATTTAGGAGCTGAACTTATATAAATCACTTGTCTGTCTTGGGAATATGAACTAAGAAACTGATTAAAAATCTGAAGATAAACTTGTAGAAATGTATCAGGTCTATATACTATAGACCTCAGTATTAATCTTATAGCTGGTAAACACCTTTTAGAGTTGGGTGTAAATGATGCAAGAACTAAGTTAATGGAATGCTAAATAAGTCGATCCACGTACAAGCACATAAGGTGAAGAGGCTTTATTTTTTTTAATGTAATAAAATGCAATTTAGACATGTATTTGATGGGTCATTGTGTTTTAATCTTTCTATGTCACATGATTATTGTATTAGATGTCATAATTTGATTTTAGAACTTCTCAAGCGTATTGTGGGTCTTTTGAGATTCATAAACTAATGAACCTATGAAAGGGGATTTTTCTTAAGCAATTTAAAAATAAAAAAAGTTGTTCTTTGGCTCGGCTAGGTGCATCCCAAATTTCTTTTTTATTCAAAACCTGATGAGTTCAGCCCACCCTGAGCTTAAATCCTGAACTTTTCTTTTTCTACAACCAAATTATTTGAATTTTGTTTCATCAATCTTGTGCTTATATCTTGAACTTGTACATAAGCATGTGAACTTCATAGGCCCAAATAAAAGCAACATATGAACTGGGTAGTGGCGACGTGCGATGGATCTCAAATCACTGTTCATATGCTAATCATTTTGGATTTGGTTTCCATAAAATATTGTTATGTTATTCTCGAGATGCCTTTATTTCTTTCTTTGTTTTCTTTTTTATTCTAAAATGTTGATTATCAAGTGGGTGTGGGGGGTTTCTCCGTAATGATTAAAAATGTATTAGTCTGATCGAATTTGATTCTTTCAGTTGTGATGACAATCAAGGATAGAATAATGCCTGCTTTTCCTTTGAGACCGATTCCCATTATTTCTATTTATCTCGAATCTTCTGGCTGTGTCTTAATTTTATTTTCATTCCTTTTGGGATTGAAAGTCAACTGCATCAACAGTTTAGGATCTTGATTTGCATCTAATTCTCCTTTGGCTTTATGCTGGAGTTTTGAAGATCCAACATTGAAAGGGAGAAAAAAAAAAAAAAAAAAGAATGTATCTTAATTTGATTAGTGTTAAGATGATTTGGTGATAGAAATGTCGCTCAAAGGATTACTCAGATTCGCAGATGGTTTCTCCGTTTTTCTTTTGTTCTCAGATGGGGTTTCTATTAGAACACCTGGTTTCTGTAGTGGATTACAATATGACCCATGCATTTGTATTGTTTCAGATATTTAGATTTGTAGGATCTCATCACTGTCGTGTCAGTCCCACACATTTGGAAGTTTGTGGTACTCTATTTGTGGAAAAACCTGTGTGTATAGATACTCATAAATATGTTGATATACTCTATGATGCGTGAATGATTGCTTTGATTTTGTCTGTTTCTTTATCATATTTGCAATGCTATTCTGATACATCTTCTCACAGTTATTGTTTGTTTGCTATTTTGCAGAAAATCGAGCAAGAGAAGCTGGAGAAGCTTGCACGTAAAGTATGATAAGAATGTTTTACTTTTTCTGTTCTTTAAGAATTAAGCAATCTTAGATGCTCATCAAGTTAGAATGTAAAGCGTTCTTTATTTATTTTAGCCGATCACTTATGAAGGTTTTTGTAGTGTTCAATGAAAGCTCATTTAAATTGAAAAACACAATAATACAAGTGGGGATCATACATTGGTGTGCACATACTTTATAGTGCGATTTGTTGGTGTCAATTTTTATTTTTGCGTTGCTGATCACATATTTATTATGGTTATCACAAAATCAATTTGATTTATACGTTCTGGTTGATTTATACACTGGTTGGGATTGGCATGCCGCTGCCACAAATAATATGGTCAATTTGAACATTTTCAGGGCCTTAAACCAGAAGAGAAGCCAGCTGGAAGCTCAGGGGGGCCAGTCTCTGATGCCAAACCTAGTGCCTCTTCCTCTGGAGCATCAACAGCCAAGGTATCGACTGACAAGTACTGGAATTATGCTGTTGTAGCTGGTGTTATGACTGCTGCTGCTTCTCTCGGTTGGTATCTCAAAGCTAGTCGAAAGAAGGAAGAAGTGCAGGACTGAGATTGACATGATTTGATATGGACTATCGAAGCTTCAGTTGTTATAACTAGTTCTGGTAGAGCACAGGAATAATACAAGCTGTGAACCTTCTCTGTTTGTGTTCCGGATGTATACTGTTTTGAGGTCCGCAATATCCTCATGACCTTTTCTGTTTCGGGAAATATATGCGTAAATGATAGGTGTTTAGCACTTGGGTTTCCAGTGCGATTGCTTTTCCATTATGTTAACAAGTTAACAAGTGGGTAGAAAATGGTGTTGAATTGTGTTACCAACTTACCAGGTGGGAATGTCACTGGGGCTCAAGGAGTAGCGGTGAACGCAACGCAGGTTCGACCCGATGCCTTCTCTCTCTATTTCCTTCTTCGGCCACACCGCACCACACCATACGCTAGCCACAGCACCGACGTGACGCTCTCTCTCTCTTTATATCACCTTCGACGACTCCGACATCACGCCTTCTCTCTCTTTCACCTCCGATGGCTGCAATGCAGAAAGAAGAAAGTTCATCCTAATTCAACAAATTTAATCAGGGCTTCCATTTGGGATTCTAAAATGGAAATTTTGAAATAGAATTAGGGTTTCAAGTTGGGATTTTTGAATTGTAATAAGGGTTTAATTACGCCTTTACAATTACCGACTCGAAAAAACTGAAACTATTTTGGTACGGAATTGGATCCTCTCCCGAGCAGGTGATCAGGATCCTCCTGATCCAATAACATGGGCCGTTGGATTAAAACAAACAGAATGCCTCTCTAAAAGTTATAATAATTGTAACCGTTGGATCAAAACTCAACAATCCGTGTTAGTGGGTCAGAAAGTTCCTGATCTCCTACTCATGAGAGGATCCAATTCCTTTTGGTACTACCCCAATTTTGGTATAATATCGAAACAATTGGTTCCGTTTCGTTTTTTTTTTTTGGGACCACCCATTTCGATTCAGTTCAGAAGTCCAACTCGGACCATTTTAAAAATTAAATATAGAAATTGGATAGTTTTACATTGCATTGAATAATATGGTCCGAATGCATGAGTCCAAATACCCGTATGCTCACCCTTAGGAAAAAAATTTCAGGGTACCCGCTTCCCCATTTGAGCTGGTGTTCCCAGCAAATAGAGGCGTGACCCATATTTATTTAATTTTAAAAGAGCTGTTATTCCCATCACAATGTCTTATCTTTTCACCCACATTTTTATGAATTTTTTTAATTACCAATTTGTCCATTTGTAAATGACTAATGAGGACCTTAATTACCCTCTTTTGCATTACTTTTTTCTTTTTATATAAAAAAAAAGAAAAAGTTTGGGCGTGATAACTCTCACGCTATGTTTAGATGATTTGTCTCTCTTAAACCCTAACTCATCATTCCCATCTCCTTTTATTCAGAGAAAGCAAAAAGAATGAACTTAGAAGATGACGTTTCTATAGAAGAAGTAGATGATTATGTTTCTGTTGAACATGTAAAAGATAATTTTATGTGGGTCATTTTGATTTGTCGACATCGTACAATTGAAGCATAGCTCTGTGACTTTTTATTTGAATTTGCATTAGGTTAGGGTGCAATTTGTTTCACGTTTCCCTATGAGAATTCTTGGAATTCGTTTTCATTAGGTTAGGGTAATAATTCAAGTAAGGCATGTTTGTCTTAACTGACATTGATAATTGTCCAACTTGATGTGTTGTCTTCGAAACCTACACATAAATCCCTTTCTTAATTAGCACTATTTTCAACTTGATGTAATGCCCATTTATTTACGTATGGTGGAATTCGTTTGCAGCAGGTAAATGAATCTGGCAATAATCCAGCGTCTACACATATGGTGGATTGTACTAGTGAATTTACCACAAATAAGGTAATATTTGCTTGACTATGCAATTGATTTACTTATACTCTTGTATGTTTATTCATAATGTGCAATTTTGGTATTTAGTTATTCAAGAGTAGAGAAGAATACAATGGGCTCGAGGAGTTGGGAAGTCAATGGTTTTGTTATTGTGACCTTATGATCCGATCAAGGTGGAAACGAAAACAGGAGCCCTAGACTTGCATGGGTTGTGAAGGGAATTGACAATATGTAAATTGAATTCACAAAAACATAACAGATGAAGATAGAAGGAATTCTGGAATGAAAAAATGTGGATGCCCGTTTCAATTAAAAGGTAAAAAGCTAGCAATTGATGATGATTGGATATTGACAGTAGTTATTGGAGTGCATAATCACACAGTAGCAGGCCATTTGGAGGGTCATTCATTTGCTGGTAGATTATTGCTTAAAGAGACTTCGTTGTTGACTGATTTGTCTAAGAGTTTGGTGCAACCAAAGGAGATTTTGACTACACTAAAATGAAGAGACAAACGAAATGTATCTACATTGAGGACAATTTATAATGCATGTCAACATTTGAGGCTTTTCGAGAAAGGTGGGAGGTCCCAAATGCAGTAATTGATGAGTAAGCTATCTGAGCATAGGTACATTGAGTGGCAAAGAAGTTGCCCAAAGACTAGCCTTTTTTTGGACTTGTTTTGCACACATCCGACCTGTTTGAACAATTCCAGATTCTATTCATGGTATTTTTTTTTTAATAAACTCCCCGTGTTTCGATGCTTTTCTATATTTTTCTGACTAAATTACTCTTGGTTTGATCCTCGGGGAATATGAATTGGGATTTTTTCTGTCTTGTTTTGCTTTAGAATTCGTGCTCTTCTTTTAAATCCACGTCTATGATTTAGTGGTTTTTTTTTTTTTTTTTTTTTTTTCTGTAATAATTACTAAAATATTTTTATCCCTAAGATTTTGGTTGCCCAAATGAGAACCCACCTCTCTACAACTCCTATTTGCCTTCCCTTAATGAAATTTTAGAAAGCATTCTCCATCATCATCTAGCATAACCTCACATACATGCGCTCCTTGCAAAAAAAAAAACCCCAAGGATTTGGACTTGAGGGATGGTTTACTTGAGTAAACTTCTCCATTTTCAATCCCTCCCAAACATGTACATCAGGCTGGAGATTAGAAAACCTCTTTTTTTTTTCTTGGCTTTTAGAAGAGTAATATCATTTGTTAATATTATTTTTTTTAAGAGAAAAGTTTATCTCTAATTATATATGTATATAGGGTTATTTTAGAAATAATAGTGGGTGAGAAAATAGTATTTTAATTTTTTAACTTTTATAGTGAGTGCAAATATAAGGTGGATGAAGAAAGTGGATGGGTATTGTAGCTCTAAAAAAAAATGTCACTATTTTTGTCAGTACATTCCTAATTTACCCCTAAAGTGAAATAGAATTTCGAAAAAACCACTCTCCCCACGCCAAGAACTCACACCGATCAATCACCCCTCGCCGCCATGAAATCATGGCAAGACAACGACCCACCTCCATTGATGGCGATATTACACCAGCGACATTCTCTCGCTTCCTAATCTTCATTTTCTCCTCTTCCATTCTTACCTCGTCATGAAGCCCGATGATCTGCGACAACTTCAACCTTCATATCTGTTGTCGCCAACCTTGTAGGGATGGCTGACGACAATTTGTAGTGTCCTTCTCATTAGAACGAAAAATAGGAAAGTAGAAGAGATAGAAAGAAAAAAGGAGAGGGGAAGGGATAGATGGGTGGGGCTGGGGCGGAGATCGGGAACTCCGGGACCAGAATCTGGGTCAGTTTCCTTAATTATTTTTTTTGTTTTTATTTAATTTATTTTCTGAAAATTTAGGATTAAACGGGTAGATTGTTTGCAACCTGTCAAAAAGATGGCTGCGTGGTAAATAAAGGCCACGTGTCATGTGCTCATTTGTGAGGTACACCAACTGTTTGATAAATTTTTGATTGTGACGGGAACATAGATGATATACCATGTGTTTTTATATAAGTGTTGAGAATTTTTATTTTTTAAGTTATTAATTTTTTAACACATATATCGTACTATTTATATAATAACACGTGATGTACCATTTCGTGTTCTGGTCACATGAAAAAATCTCTCCACCGTCTGGGGGCAGCGGGTACCCAGAAAAATTTCTCCACCCGTAGCGGAGAATCAAATGGCAGGTCTAGTCCACTTTGCTGAAGGCGGCGGAGTTAAAAGCGCCACTCAACCAATTAACAACACTTATCACGCTGAAGTAAACAGAAGATTTTCAGGGGAGGACAGGATCAGAACATAATCCGCACAGAGAGAAGAAAATGGAAAAGGGTAAACGGGAGGTGGTGGTTTCAGCTCTGCAATTCGCTTGCACCGACGACGTCGCCACCAACGTCGCCACCGCCGAAAGGTCTCTCTTCCCTCTTGCTCTTCACCCCTTTAATCTTATTTGATCAATAAATTTGCTGAGTTTTGTTTCTCCCCAATTTATTAAAGTTTGCAATTTGAACTTTTTATGTGTATTTCTGCAACTATAGAACCAAAGGTTATCAGCTTGTTTTCCGTATGTGAACAATTCTTGTACTGGTTTAATTTCTGGGTTGTTCTTCTTTTGCCAATATTACTCCATTTTACTGGTTTTTTACCCAGAACATTGCTCCAGTTGTATAATTATATGTTCGTGTTTGTTTTGCCATTCCTCGCAATGTGGCCAATACTGAAAACCCTTTTGTTAGAGTAAAAGTAAGTGGTTGCTGTGGATTCTATTCGCTTTAAGGCGGATGTCTCTTGATTTCAACTTGACACTGCTTTACTCAGGTACAGTTTGCTTGCTCTGGTTAATAGGCGTTTCCTCGTATTAACCTTTCAACTTTGATCTCATGAATTGGATCATGACGCATCTCCTCAATTACTTAAAGAGTATGCTTTTGAAGATTGTTATGCGTATTGAATCAAAATTTATTGGTTAATATGAAGAAAGTCATTTGCTTACGTGTTCCAAGCTTTTGTTCTATTGTTGGTCGGATTTTGATCAAATGACTGAGAGTGTGGTTTGTGTCTCATTAGATTACTTAAAGAGTATGCATTTGAGCATTCTAGTGCGGTTGTGTAGGGCTTCGAAAGAGGAAGCCCTCTTTTTATGAAAAGAAGGAACTACAGTGCAGTCCCTTCATTGAAACCGTCTATCTTTTAGGTCCTCTTCAAGGATCATCTCTTCAAAAAATTAACTAAATGATTTTTTTTTAGCCATTTAATTTTCATATGGACAACCACGCACACAAGTTTGTGACAAGAGTTCACATGATTTGCTCATGTACAACTAATATCTTCCTGGCTTCATAAGATTTTATTTTTTTATTTTTTATTTTTATTTTTATTTTTATTTATTTTTTATGTGAAGCATATCATGCGATGTCGCGTAGTGGATGATGTTATTTCAGAAAATTGAACCGTTTTAGAATTAGGCTATTACACTTTATTTGAGAGTAACTGAGGATAAATTTTTTTTCCCACCTACACTATATGGATTTGGATCTGGTTTTTGTTTTGGGGTTGGGGGTGGTTAATTTAAACTAAAGAGTTGAGATCCTGAGGGGTCTTGAGGGTCTTGCCTCAGCTGGGTCCTCTCCGGGTCAGCTTTGACCTAAAGTTATGTTTGCCCTTCCCCATGCTCCTGCTTTTTCTCTAAAGCAATATCTTGTGAGTTGAATTTATTATCCTTTTCCATTCAGGTTGGTTAGAGCTGCTCATGCGAAGGGTGCAAATATCATTCTTATACAGGTATGACACTTCAAATCTGGAAGATTTTTTTTTTTCCTAAGTTTTGAACTCTTTTATTTTCCCTTTCTTTTCTTTTCCATGCTTATAGTGATACATCCTCAAAGTTATTAAGAGATAATTCAAATTAGAAGTATATCTGCAGAGCTTAGCCTAAGCGTACAAAGGGTAGAGTAAGAAAATGCATTCAACCTAAGATACTAAGAACTTTGATAAATTCTTTGACACAACTTTTGGACAACAGTCAAGCTTTCATGCTCCTATCCAATAATGGATGTTGCTTCAGTTCATTGATACATTGAAGTTCTGAACAGTGCTGCACAGAGTGCTTGCAACTATTACGTGCATGTAATTTTTGTGGCCTTTTAGCACCTTGTTTTGGGAAGGGATAAAAGAATACGTAATTATGGTAAAACCTAGGCATATAAAGGGGAAAAATAACCCAAATAAATATGGCTTGAGGAGCAAGTTTTCCATAAACATATGATTGAATGCACATTTTGATAGTTTAGGTCCTTTCTGATTGATTGTTGCAGGAACTCTTTGAGGGACATTACTTCTGTCAGGCACAAAGGGAGGACTTCTTTCAGCGAGCAAAGCCTTACAAGAGGCATCCAACCATTCTTAGGTGAGTATTGGAGAATAGCCTTACAACATACCAGGATAATCTTAAAAAAGAATACAGGAAAAAAGAAGAGAAGAAAAGCTTCTTAATTTAATTTGTGCACATTTTTTGGGCAGTAATACTTGTTAAGAATTTTAATTGCAAGCTCTGTAGGATGCAGAAAGTTGCCAAAGAGTTGGGTGTGGTAATACCAGTTAGCTTTTTCGAAGAGGCAAATAATGCCCATTACAATTCAATTGCCATTATCGATGCTGATGGGGCAGATCTTGGACTTTATAGGAAGTCCCACATCCCAGACGGACCAGGTATTCAAGTAGGATAATGTTCCTGTTGTTTAAATTCACCTGTTACCTTTAATAACAGCCACTATTTTTCTGCTGCAGGCTACCAGGAAAAGTTCTACTTCAATCCAGGTGATACTGGATTCAAGGTCGGTGCTTCAGACAATTACAATCTATACTTAATGCTATTTAGCGTGCTTTTGATGGTGATTAATGTAGTGTTGTTGTTAAGCAGGTTTTCAAGACCAAGTTCGCAACTATTGGAGTTGGTGAGCAAATTTTAAAGTAGATGCTTCCCTAATTTGATGATTTTTAAGGGGGCACCAGTTGCCCAATTCAAGGGCTGGCCATATCTATAATATTCTGTGGGCTTTATTTGAACTCTGCAATCTTTCTGTACTGGATAGTAAAAATCATCTGGAGCTTTGTGTGTTTGACCAATGGTATACGTAATGTGAAGACTAGAACCTAAATCTGCTAGTACTTCATTTTGTATCAGCAATTTGCTGGGATCAATGGTTTCCCGAGGCTGCCCGGGCTTTGGTTCTTCAAGGTGCTGAGATATTGTTTTACCCTACTGCTATTGGTTCCGAACCTCAAGATGGAGGTCTTGATTCTCGTGATCACTGGAGGCGAGTGATGCAAGGGCATGCTGGGGCTAATGTGGTAAGTTTATTCATAGTAGTTTGGCTACTGGCTTCTTTCTTTTTTCTCCTTCTTTTTGGCACTAAGTAGGGCGGAGGAGCAGACTACTGTTTTGACTTGGAAAGCATTTTTATTAGTCTAGGTTAGCTTGTATTTCCTTGTCCATTTGGCTATATCTGGAGTTAAAGTTTATTTTCTTTATTATTTATTCTCTAAACTCTCGACGTCCTTGGATCAACAATGGCCAGTCATACGATGCAACATAAAAGGGGGACAATTCGAGATCTGTTTCGTACTGAATTCTTTTCAAGGAAACTAATCTAGTTTTGATGAACTTCAGGTCCCTGTAGTAACTTCAAATCGCATAGGAAAGGAGATAATTGAGACCGAGCATGGAAAGAGTGAGATCACTTTCTACGGTAACTCTTTTATAGCAGGTATGTTTCTCTGGTTTTCTGTTTTCTCTGGTTTTATGGAAGTTGAAACTACATCCATATAGTCTATCTTTTGTTAATGTTGGATGTGAATTATTAAGAAGTAGTTGGATTTGCATAATTCATTGTCCAGGACCCACTGGTGAAATTGTTGCAACTGCTAATGATAAAGAGGAAGCTGTGCTTGTAGCACACTTTGACCTAGACAAAATCAAATGGAAGAGACATAGCTGGGGAGTATTCCGCGACCGCCGCCCAGATTTATACAAGGTGCTACTGACATCAGATGGCAGCAATTCCCCTTTGTGATCATTCGTTTTGACAGTGCTTGTTGTAGAATTAATAAAGGACTTCCAAGGTACGGTCCCTCGTACGATTGGAGGATTTAGGATTTACTTTTGAGGAAGAAATTTTCTCTAGTGAAGTATTATTGGATGATCATCTCTATTTGCTCGTCTAAATCTTGAAGGTATCCGGTATTTATTGAGAATGAGATTATCATATTTCTTATTTAGTATGCTATTATATCGCTTCTGGTTAAATTCATTTGTGTTGTTTAATTATACAAAGACATTTGAACCTAATACCTCTCACAAGTAAAGGGGAATACTACTAAACCGTAATACTAAATGAACGGATAAAAATTAAAGTAGGTGTGAACAAAGCTTATGACAGAATAATAAGTTGGGAACTTGTATATCTCTGCTCGCTCAGATTTGGATTTAATGAAAGATTATGCATTGTGTTTCTTATTACACATGGTTATATTAAACTTTCTTCAGGCCTCACGTGGTTCTTTGCATTAATTGAACTTTTTATTCGACATTTTAATAATCTTTCAACTCATTCATCGACTCATGTTGAACCATTGATTTCAAATCGTGAATTACGTATTTTCAATTTATATTTTTCTGATAATTGTATCTTATAAACTTTCGTATTTTTTTTGTTCAAACATAAGATTCATTGATAGACCCGGGTACATTGGGGAGGCCGAGTAACCATGAGTGCAGATAGACCCGGGGTCCGCCATAAATAGAAGGCCTCTTCGTGCTCTAGCTCACCTGGGAATCCCTACCAGTAAATTCAGTCACACTAAGATGACCATCCAAGGATACAATGCGGACTCCAAAAGAGCGATTGGTAAGATTCTCCTTAAGTGTCAGTTGGCAGACTTGAAGTCTGAAATCACGTGTTATGTGATTGATAACGACACGTCCTACAATCTACTGCTGGGAAGGCCTTGGGTCACACTCTCGAGATCTGCTACACTTTGAAGTCGTGGATCCGGAACAAAATAAATTAGGGGAACATTATCCTTGCTCCAAATTTCTACAAGGATCCTTCACGAAGAGAGGACCCAACACCTGTAACATAGTAGGCTTAGGAAGCAACTCAGATGAAGAGCTTAACTTCCCACAATAAGAAGAAAAGCCTAAGGTGGTAGACCAGATGCAACTCAGAAAAGGGAAGACACTACCCGAACATCAACCCCCAATAGCCAAGGACAAAGGAAAAGAGAAGTGGATTGAGATTGAAGAGGATGCCATCTCTCGGCTCTTCAGGATGGCTCCTCTGGAGGGTCGTATCTATCTGAAAGATCAGACAACATATATTGCTCACTCTATGTTTGTTCATCTGCCAATTTCCTCCTGTTGGAACAATGTCACTTATGGGAGGCCAATGACAGGATAGAACTATCTTTATGATATCCCAAGTGCCCTCACATAATTAGTGAATTACGCATATCGAAGTACTGTGGGTTGCTGGCCCAGCTCAACGTTATGGTCAAATCCAGGTTGCTGCCTTTATATCTGCCCCACGCCGCTCTGTTCCGTCAAGCGGTAAGGATCTCGCCCGAAAGTGATGTGCTTACAAATGAAACCTTGCTAGTAGTTCATCAAACTTCATGAGCTCACAAATAGGTCTCTTGCCCTACCGTATGGCAAAGGTACTAAACTACTAGATTGGCCCTGAGATTGAATAAGGGTCATTCTTTATAGATCAGATCTGCAACGCTTACTGATTCAATCACAGCCGATACACATTCAATTGCAAACAGAACACTGGTTAATTGAACAATTAGCAAATTTGTACCCCTAACGGCCTATTATTTAGCAGCTGATTCTAGACCAGCCAATTCAATTGCAGCTATTTCAAAAAAACTGCCTATTATGGCTATGTAAAAGGACCAGCTTCCCAGAAAGGTTAATGCCCTAGGATTGGATTCATACCCATATGGAACTGGGTGAGGGATTCCTTGAAACCAGAGCAAGAACCTAAAAAGCGATAACAAGCTAAAAGGCGCATCTCTCTAAGCCAAGATCGTTCGCTCCTCAGCAATTGATCCAAAAAGTCCCACAGCTCCTTCTTAGGCGAGCGAAGTGAGCTCCGTTGGACGTTGGAAGAAAGAAGCTAATAAAGTCATAGAAGATCCCGAAAGAGGTGAATTGCTAGAAAGTTTATCAAATCCGATTTGACGACTAGCTTTACTTGATAGAGTTACCTTCCATGCCTGGTTAAGTTCGCCCTTAGGGGAAAAAGCCTTTCCTTGCCTTACCAGACAGTAAGAATTTAATTGCCTTGAAAACAAAATAGAAGTACTACTTTGGATACGCTACGATTTGCATCTCTCATTAAACTTTTATAATACAATCTATGTCCCATTCCTTTAGTTTTAGCTTTCTTCATTGAGTAAAAGGAAATTAGCTTTTCAAATAGAAGGCATATGATAGCTCATTCCCGAACTTATTTATATCGTAAGAGAGAAAAAGAACCTTCTATGCCCAATGACTACCATGCTTTCCTTTGGTCAACAACCAACCATAACTCACTATAATTCTTCACTACTCGTACAGGAAGGTAAGAAAAACTTGCTTTTTTGGAGGGAATCAAAATGACGTAAATCCCAATTTTATGACCCAGGAACAGATTTTGCTATTACAAGTAGAAATAGAATTACAACTCAAAAGGGAAAAGCAACTAGAAAAGGAAAAGCTATTAAAACTAGAAAAGCTATTAAAATTACAAGTAGAAAAGGAAAAGCTATTAAAAACGCTTGAGTTGCTGCCTTGTGAAAACAAACATCATATGTAAGTAAGTAGCATCTCAAATAGAAATATCCCTTAATGAGTATTCATACATCTCCTCAGAGGCAGCGTTCGGCGGCTTCTTTGTCTTAATCTAAGCCTCGGGTGCATCTTGACCAACCAATGCCAAACAGGAGGGCTAGGCTTGGCCCACCATTTCACAGGGTTGATGCCACAAAATGAGTATTGTTGGCGTGAATCACAAAGTCTTTTGCCCTTCGCACACATTTGTTGATTAGCCGACAATGTGCGAAAAGACTCAAATAAAGAAAAAAGGGTTGAATTTCCTCAGTAGCCCAAAGTATGCAGGAGCTCGCTCCAAAGAAGGAAGAAAAACAATAGCTCGGGAATTTATATCTCAAGAAGTCGGAATGCGAGAGTTGGGTCATTTCGAATTATATTATGACTCTTGATAGGAAAGGCAGTGAGATGAATCTTCTTGGCAATTGGGAGAGAAAGATGCCTTCCGGGACAACCTCCAAAACTTGACCACCGGATGCTCGCATTCCACTTCCCACACATAAATACCATGGCAACATCACCTTCGGTGCCTTATGTCAAGTGCAAAGTAATAGTGGAAACTAACTTCATTGAACCTATAATATCAAAGGGAAGAATAGGCAGAAGAGGTCCCTCTAACCGTGGTACATGATGTCGTTTGATCTCGGCATTCATTAATAGCTTATGGAGAGCCCTAAACAAAGAAAATAGAGATATTTTTAGAGAATCTGCAGGATTTTATGGCTCGGCAGTCCCCCGAGTGGGTTAGTTACCCACTACCTTGTTTATTGATAGAAAAAACAAGATTTCATTGTATAAGCACAACTGGTTGTATATGGGAGCATGACCGTTGGAGGAAGGTGTGGCCTCTTAGCTCGTCCACATCTGCCCAACTGGACTGAGAACCCACCATTGGTTTTCATAGCTTTTTTGAAATGGTCTGTCATCCAAGCTTCCCCTATTGCACAAGAATATCGGGCTAGTTCCAGGGCTCGCGGGGATTCTCGTGTAATTGAGCCTCCACCTTTACCCGGACCTTCAACCCTTCTAACTGTCTCGAATTCCGATTCATTCGTAGTAAAGCTTTGCACTTTTACGGGAGCTGGGTACGTATCCCTTCAACATTGTACCCCGAAACCCTTATTTTCATTTACTGTATTGTATGGTTGATTGCATTATCTATCATCTGGTTCGTAAGCTGATGTTGCTCACTTGACAAGAGCTTGTTTTCTGGGATTTCGAATTGAAGTTGGTAGATGTAAGGTTGAGAAGCAATGGTGAAAGAAGGGCAGGTTCTGAACGAAGTGAAGACTTTATTTGCCCACCATCATCAAGAAAGTTGTGAAGCAAAGACGTTTATCCAGTAAAATGGTGGCTATGGGGATAAAGTTTTTGAGGCAGACGCACACTTTCAATGCCTTTCTTTCAGAACCTAGGTCTCGATTAGAGGTCGATCAACTAAAAGAGAAACGAGATTCTTCAGTTATGAGCACGAAGACAAACACCCATCCCATCTCGTTGCGAGGAGCTTTTTAGCAAGCTGATATAGCCCACGGTAGGGAAAGGAAGATGATCAATTAATACCCATCCCTACCGTGGGCTATACCTGGTAGGGAAATCAGAACAATGGAGATCATAAGATGATCAATAAATAAGACCAGGTATAGCCCACGGTAGTGGAATCTCTTGGAAATCCACCGAGGAAGGAACAAGCCGAAGTGATTAGGCTGTGGATTGGGCTTTAAGATCATCACTTGGTAACTAACAACGGTACGTGCCATCGATTCCCTGGTCGCATTGATACGGGGGCAGGAATTAAGGGTAGCTTCACCTAACACTCAACATTGGCCAAATGGGCACCATTTGTATAGAAAACCTACGTTTTATTTCATAACCTCAGACTACTTTGTTAGAGTGGAAAAACACGACTAGAACTCTTGAAATAAAGTCTGTGTTTCCTGGATCTGGAAAGAACTGCCTCTGCTTAGCATTCACAGCGGATTCTTGAACTAACAACCTTGTTAGCAAGCGCTTTCGCTTCGTACCTTGATTTTTTTCTTTCAAACCAACCTTGACTATTGAGATTATCCATATTCTTTTCCGAATCGAAATAAAACTAGTATCCACCTTCTTCCTTTGCCAGTATCCTATGATCTCTTGACTAAGTCATTTCACAATAAGCACTGAGAACATGGGCTCGTACCGTGCTACTGCTTTGACCTAGGATTTTTTTCCTCACATCGGATTTTGAACTGGAAAACTGAAGCTTGCGAGATTGCTCGATACCCTTTGCACTGTTTGCAAGCCTTTTCCCCTTGGATAGATAGCGTTGTGAAAGAGAGAAGGATTCAAGAGATTGAGATCGATCTCCCTTCCCCTCTTTCAAGATCAGATCGAGAGTTCTAACAGAACGAGCATTCG